ATTTGAAAATTGCGGCTCCTTTTGGTTATTTGGTGCATGTGCCACAAGAGAAACCAGTCAAACCTCATTCGGGGGCAAAAACATCTTCTCAAATGGGGCACGAATAGCGTTTTGGAGCAGCAACCACTTTAGCTTGTTGTTGCTGTTGCTGTTACTGTTGTCGTTGTCTTTGACAATTATTTACCGTTGGCGCTTAACTGTTAATTTGTTGAGACCAACAACAGTTGGATCTCCCCATTTTGTCCAGTTCAATAGCAACTGCATCCTCAGCCAATGCAGCATGCCACGCATGCTTTATAGCCTTTAATTTGCTACACACACGAATAGCACTCTCTCCCGCTCTCTCTCTCTCACCCTCTCTCCTTCTCTTTTCACACACTCTTTCTCTTTTTCTCGGGTATCCATTATATAGATTCCTGTCAGAGTCATGACTGTCTATGCTCACAAATGTAATTAAATGTTTTTGTCTGCACACGTACGCGTTTGCTCCTGGTTCGGGTTTTCCACAATTTACAATGCTTTTACCTAACGCCGCTCGATGCGATTCTCATTATGTGAAGAAAAAAGCAAATTACAGGATGAGCGCGCTATTAAATCGCAATTAAATGATTGCACGAAATTACAGGCAAAACATGTGGCCCCAAGTACTTTTTTTTTGCCACTCATTCAGTTTTCAGCTTGATTAATTGAGACACGCTGTCAATGGATTAGCTAAGCTATGCGCAGACTAGGAGAGGAAAAAAGTTGTGAAAAGTCTCGAGAAAAACTCGTTGAAAGTTTGCAACAAATTACTTAATTGAATACTGAAAACTGATTAGCGAAAAACTTGTCTCTGGTCGAACTGGCTCCAACCTTGCACTTGACTAAGCACAAGGTCATCCACAAAAGCAAGAAAATGGGCAACGAAATCGAGGGTCATGCAAAGGAAAAATATCGCATAAAAACGGCAACTGCCAACACAGAAATCAATTCTACATTTGCATATGCAGGAAATTTCTACAAATACCAACAGGCAGGCCGCCTTTGACTACAAATGGGCAGCTACGCTCTTGGCCAGGTCAGTTGAACTGAGCGGAACTGTTGGCTGCTATATGGCGCGACCCCCATATTTATTCGTTTGTCTACCACTCGAGCGCTCATTCAACCATTCAGGCATTCATTCGGTTATTCAGGCTTATTGCAAACAGTTGCCCCCAACAACAACAGCAGCAGCAGCAACAACTACAACTTGCAGTTTTTCACGTTTTTCACTTCACTTTGTTTTTTATTCCAGCATTTCGCCTTAGCCGTCTGCGCTTAAAGTTGCATTTTCCTCTGGCTTGGACCTTGGCCAACTGGCTGCCCAACTCTTTGCAAATTGAATAAAAGGGAAATAAGAATAAAAAGATGAAAACTAATTCGCCAACTATTTGGCCAACTAGCGCAATAAATCTGCAAAAAGTTATCAGCGTTAATTTTGTTTATGCAGCTTTCTTGTTAAAATTAATAAGAGGGCCCGGCGAGAGAAAACTTGGGTTCATAAACAGATTTAGATTTAATCAAATGATAGTCCTTACCTACACACACACACACAATTTCGCACAAGCGCTTGGATAATAAAGTCAATATATTTCAATGTCGCAACTCGATTAAGTATGCCAAATAAAGAGAGAGAGACACCGAGGAAATGCCTAAGGATTCATGTGAAATGTGCATGGGCTGGAAAAATGCTTTCAGCTCTAGATAAACTATCCACAGATTTTTGCCCGGAGTAGAGAGAGGCAAGGCAAAGAACGGTCTACACATTATGGCCAGCAACCATTCTGTGGGCGCAACTGACAGAATCCACACATAACACACATACGCACACACACATACACACATATGACACAGTCACACTCTCATATCTCTTGGTACTAGCTGCGGGTCGAGTAATTTTGTTGTGCGTTGGCACCACAAATTAGAGAGGGGCGGTCTAGTAACGGGGGCTACGAAAGAGAAATCGAAAAATGTAACGCTCGAAAATTGCCTGTCAAATGACAAAAATGGTTTCATTTTTGTGCCCCTAATGGCAGTTGGTCATTTTTTATGACCGGCACAAAAAATAGTCAAAAAAAAAACAAATAACTTTGGGTTGCGTGATAGAGACCCGATCAGACTCCCCTACACACAGATATATACATATATAAATACATATACATATATAGTTATATACATATATATGTATATATATAAACGTGGATAAACACATTCATTGGTGGGGTTTTCCCTAGTGCTGTGGCCGTAATGGTATCGCACGATTGGAGCTTTTGTTTTCTCTGTAAGGGTTAACTAAAAGCCAAACAATTTGTGTGAATCTGCAAAGTCAAGAGGTTAAACCTTTAGTTAAACAAGCGCTACGCATGGTAAATATTTCTTTTTTTTCGTTTCTTTAACCTTGAATTGAACTTGAACTGGTGCCTGGCATTGATTTCAGGTCAAATGTTGATGTGCTTAGGCTTAATTAAATCGTAGCAAAATGGCATACGATATGAATAGGTATGAATAAAAAGGGTAATAGATCAGAACATTAATCATAAATGGAAGTTGTTGTGGATTATTAAGTTTTAGAGCTCAGTAATTATAGAAATAAAATTTCTCATGAATGAAATTAACTTTTGTTAAAAGACTTTTATATAGAAATTGGCTGGGCTGAACTAGAGGACTGAATAGCTGGCATAGGAACAAATTTTTGTTTATACTAAGAAAGTCTTCTGAAGTTTTAAGATCTTTTCGCTTACCTAATGATACATTGTTAATACATTTCAAATGCTTCAAGAACTTGTTACAATTTTCAAATATAAGCTGAAAATATTATTTTTAAGGACTCATAAAACTTTGCCCCGTTTCTCTCTGTTTTCGCCTTTTCCTTTTCTCTAACAAGCTGACCTCTCTTGTCATTTTATTTTATCATCGCCTTTTCCGTTCGCTTTTATTTGGGAATTTAAAAGCTGGCTACTACATTAAAAGACAACTTCGTTTTCAATTGACTGCTCCATAAATATATATTTCAATACTCGCTCTCCTTTCGTATGGCTTAGAATATGCAATTCTGTGCTCTAGCAATCGTAAAGCTTCCAGCTGAAGCCAAATGTATTGCCATATTTTCCATTTTTACACATCTTCACGTATTCTTTTATAGTTTTTTGTTGTATTACATTGCGAATTTCTCAGTCCACTTGGCTAGCAAAATGTTGCAATTGTAATGGCTGTAAAGGGCTTCAAGTGGTTGGCACCCATAAATCGCTTCCGCGCAATTGCATTGATTGAGGCGGATAACGAGGTCCTTAGCCACTGAAATATAAACATTGCCTGGCTATTTAATGAAGCATAAACCAAGCAGGCTGCAGTTGCTCTTGCTCTTGCTCCTGCTCCTGCTCTTGTTGTTGTTTTTATAGGTTTTCAGCTCGTTATCCTCAATCTGCACCTTGAACGCCGCCCTGTGGACAGCGAGAGACATAAAACTGTCAAAAAGTCGCCTATATAAATCGCTAAACTAAATGCCTTTCATAGTTTAATGTCACCTCCGGGGATTTGAGTCAACATAAACACACACAAACGTGCGCAGGCAAACACAGGGGATCTATAGCAGACAACGTGTCTCTATCGTAAGGCTGCTGTTGCTGCTGCTGCAACAACAACAACAACAGCATCAAGTAGAAGAACAAGCACAGCCAACATCAAAGTGCCAACAACTGGGCACTAACCAATTACACTAAAAGAAAAAGGGATGTTTTCATATAGGTTTTTGTGATCAGTATCTTTTGATTGGTTACAAATTGTCAAGGAACTCTTATTTCAATATTACAAAATATAAGAAAGCGATCAGTAAAAATATCTTTTATAACTAAGATTTTTCTATATAGGGTGTAACCTTCTTGTACATGGCATCCTGTTGGAGGTTATAGTAATAGTTTAAAGTAAAAGAATTCACTATACTCATTCATATACTCATACTGAAAACATTGACTTTTTTTGTCCTTAATAATCTCTAAGTGAGCGTAAATTATATTTTGAAATTATAAAAAGATACTTCGCTTAAATACAAATTAATTGTATTAAAAACGATATAGTTAAACTCAGCTTTATTGATTTTCTGTAAAGGAAACAGACTCTTCTTCGAGGGACTACTGTAGCGAAGCGAGTTGCGGAATTTCGGCACTGCTTCAATTTCATTTGATGTCTAACATATTTCGACTTGGAGAACATTTGTACTTAATTTGAGTTAAAAATTCCGTAAATTTTCTCGTTGTGTAGCTACAACTTCGGGTTAGACTGTGGCTTTGACTTTGGTGTCCTGCTCGATTTGTGGTTGTCATTAAAGGCGCATGAATTATGCAGTAGCCCAACTGAACTAGTTGCAGTGGACACTGTCTGGACCTGAGGCTCGAACTCGCCTTTGTTTGTTGTTTTAATTAACTAATTAAGATTTTTCTATATTGCAGCAGCATCAGCAGCAGCAAAGGCAGCAGTAGTAAACACATCCACAGCAACAGAGACAGACAAAGACAAAGGCAGAGGCAGAGGTTGAGGTAAGCAGCGTGGAATGTTGGCATCATTTGTTTTTGTTGTCGGCCAAGTTGCTAAGGACCCAATTAACCTTTTATGGCCATTTGGCACAATAACGAGAAGCGAGAAGCGCGCAGTGAGCAGCAAAGACAATGCCATACAATGTTAAGCTACTTGGGAGCATCTCGAGAGGCAGACAGTCAGCCAACTGGCAACTGCAACTGCAACGGCAACGGCAATGGCAACGGCAACGGCAAACGGCAACTGCAGTCGAGAGTTCGCTAAATTGCTGGCCTTATTCGGCGCTTATTAGTTTGAGTCCAAAACAATGAACTTGTTTTTTTTATTATTATTATTTTTATTATATTTCTATTTTTCCCTGCTACAAATTGACATTGGCAAAAATTTGTTGAGCTCCAAAATGGGGAGAATGGCAATTTCGATTCCAGATTATTTCGTTTTTCGGAACTCACCTCCATCAATAATTTATTTATTTTTAAATAAATGTATTTTCAATGGCTTCAGCAATTCTTATCTGCAAAGTAAGAAAGAAATGTGTGAATAACATAAATTATCAGATATGCAGTTAACTATAGTATATGTAACAGTTTGATAAGCTTTTATTATCAGCCGATAGCTGATAAAGCTGCTGCCTGATAGTTTTTTCCATTTAATTAACTTTTTGCCATAATTTATGGACAAGCAGTGCAATACGTTTTAACCCAAAAGCATAATAAATTCACTTCTGCATATTACATTTTATAAATATTTCACAGTTTTTTATGTTATTTTGCTATGCAAATGCGTGGCTAAAACTTAATTTATTATAATTAAAATGCAATTGTTTTCTGTTCTTGCCACCCGCTGCAAAGGTGTGTGCTTGCAACATATTTTGCATAATTATTTATGATGTGCACGCAAATACATAAATATTTATTCTAATTGTATTCGTTGGCTTTAAATTAGTGCAAATTATTTTGCCATAAATTAGATTAGTTTTTATATAATTTGTTTATAAAGCTTAATAGATCGACACCTATCGAGCCCGCTTATATGTTTATAATTGATATATTCTACAATAATTTTAGTAAAATTATTTTATGCAATTAAATTATATTAATATTTGGGTCAAAAAAGTTTCAAAAGAATCGATTCCGTTCTGAAGGTATGAAAGTTTTAGAAAATTAATTACATTTACATTGAAACTGTATAAAAATAAATAATGTGTTAATGTAAAGCTTTGATTTTTTAATGCGAAAATCCAAATAAATTCATAGAATAACACGTTGGCCACAAACTTCATGAATAATATATAAATAAATAAGCGAGCCGAACAACATTTCAATTTTTATTGTTATTTATTTTCGCTGCAGAAAGCTTTGTATCTGAAGAGAATTTAGATCTTAGCACTAAATACATATTGAAGAATAAACTATTATTTTTGCTTGTAATTGGAGTACAATTTCTTAATAATGAATACGGAAATATCTGGAAGATCTTTGATCCTAAAGACCACTGAAAGTTACTGAGATCTTCGACCCAGTCATTTATTTATTCCATGGTATTATAATATTAGATCCTTACATAAGATTATCATAAGATATCTTAAAAAGTCATCTTTTAAGTTTTAAAAAATTATTGCATTTTTTATAGTTTTTCTTGTAACTGTTTCTGCTTTTCCCCATGATTCCTTTATTTTTACCTATACAGCCAATCAGCTTATCAGTTTCAACACCTTGGCGGCTGCCCAACCGGTTACGTGTTGGCTGTAATGTGCAACAGCTTCAAGGTGTTGTGTCTTGACAACAGCAGCCACAACAACTTTAATACTTGTCCGTAGTGAGCGGCTGATAAAAATCGCATGACGATAGCAGCTTCAAGAGGCCAGCAACAATGTGTGGGTGTTGTAGTTGCTGTTGTGCGTACGTGTGAGTAGCCTGGACACGTATTCTCGATGACCGAGACACACTCACACAGTTGCACACAGTCTCACGCAGTCTCACACAGTCTCACAGACACTCACAAATTCTCACACACTCTCACACACAAGTTTATACATTTTTTTAGCAATAGCTAATCAGGTTAGTCTAATTAGCAACGCTTGAGAAGGGGCGTTGTCGAACTAGGCGTGGCGACTATAACTGAAATCGACAACCAAACAGCGTATAATATAATTAATAAACGCCTGTGCCTAAACTTAATTAATTAATTTGATTACAGCGCTCAATCTCTCCATCTCCCTCTCTCTCGCTCTCTCTTTCTCTGGCTCTGTCTGTAGCACAAAGGCCAAACTAATTAATGATTCTGACCAAATTCTGTTGACCATAATTAATTTAATTTCAGTTCAATTGACAAATGCTGCTGGCCCCAAAAACAGCAACATCGATGGCTATGGCGATAGCTTCTGTTTTCAAGTGCTGTGAGCTGCTGCCTTTAAGAGGCTTTAAAACAAATTTCGCACGCTCTACGGCGCCCACCAACAGCGACAATAATAGCAGCAGCAGCAACATCAACAACAATAAGAGCAACAACATTGTTGGAAGATTTGCGCCTTGGCAGTTCATTAAATGTATGTTGGGCCCAATAAGCAAAAGCAGCTTACATGAACAGATCCACAAAAAGGGTGCGCGCTTTATCATTGCGAAATTCTCTTTAATGATACCCTATTAAAACAGAGGTACGTGTATTTTAAAGTAATTTTGAAGAGGACAAGCAGCTGCAATACGAATTCACCAAAACTTTTTACTGATGCCAATTATTATATTTTCTTTTGACAAATTTAACATTTAAACATTTTTACTAAACTTTTCTTTTCTCTGTCCTATAGCTCTGAACTCTTATGAGCTACAGGGATATAAAGAATTGGAGTTTCTGCTTCATTCATTTTCAATTTCATTATATGTCATTATATATATATATATGTTCACATGGGAAATTATATTAAGATTTATTTTTTAATATTGAGAAAAAGTATATTATCTGGAGAACTCTGTTTAATTTTCAGGATTAAATAAACAAAGAATTAAAAAAAAAAACAAGAATTTTCTGCTTTCATTTACAATATTTTCATTTCCAGTATTTCCATAGTTTCCATAGTTTAAATTATAAAAAAAATTATTTGAATAATTAAGCAAAATGTTAACATTAATTATAAATGAATAAATAATTTGTCTATATGTAATATTAAGGTTCAACAATTAACAATTTAATAAAATAATTTCAAAGTAGAGTATTTGACAATTTTATAAATCCTAAAAATAAATAATTTCCAGCTTAGATTTTTTTCTCAGCCTGTAAATGGCGTAAATTATTTACTAATGATCACAAAATGTTGCTGATCATAAACACTCTTAAATGTACATAAACAAAATGCCTCTTGGCCATATTTTCGTTTGGTTTAAATTCTGCTCTTTTAATTTTTTTCTTCTTTTTCTGCACACGTATTTTTTGTTTGTGTATTTTGTTTGGCTCGAGGCATTTCATTCTGTTTCATGCCTTCGAACGACGATGGCCATTAAAATAGCTTCGATATGGCCATAATATTATTTACTTCTCCGCCGGACTGCCTCTCTCTCTCTCTCTCTATGTGCTTTTGTTTCGCTCAAATAGTAATTTTTGTTGCTGCCTCATCGTTTGCCATATTCAACGTCTTGATTAAGCGCAATTAATTGCTGCAATTGCCGATTTTAATTCCAATTTATGGCCCTTGCAACTGATTGGAGGACGCATACTCGCCACGGGACCAATAACTCAATAAAACACAATTTACATGCATATAGTATATAACTTAACCAATATATATACGTATACCGTATACCCTTTGCTCTCGCAACGTTCGGCTGTCCATCATCCGAGGCGAAGGTCATATGCATATTAATACTAGTTGTTGTTGATATTGTACACGCAATCGCATCTTTTGAATATTAATACAAATTTACATAGCCGGTTAACCTGTTTTGAATTGTGACTGTCTCACACTCTTTCTCTCTGCCTCGCACGCTTCCCTCTCTCTCTCGCGCGCTCTCTTTTGTGCTCTCTCCACAAGCGTATAATTTGCCAGACCTTTATGTTTATTGATTTTGGTTAGCGCCATGTACTTTGGGCCTGGCTTATGGACTTGGATTTAACGACTGCCTAGCTAACTAAAGCCCATTGCCATGCCAAGAGTCCCAAGAGTATATAAACATTTGGCATTTAGATGAAAACAGCTGTTAAGACCTTCAAGAATGACGCATAGAAAAGAAATTGAACAACTTAATGCTGTTTAGAGATGCGCTACAAAAATAAAGATACAGAGAGGAAGGCAAGATAGTGAGGGTAATAAGAAAAAGTAAAATTAGCTTAAGGCTTCTTATAAAACCTTTCAGCAAAGATGGCAAAAAGCTTGACAAAACACTTAGCTTACTTTAAAAACTTACTAAGAGACACAAGAATTTAATTAGAAAGAAAAAATGTGATTCGAAAGAGAGATAAAAACAGAGCGAGACAGTGAAAAAAGCTATTTAAGCCTATTGAACTTGCATGAGAATGAGATCAGCGCAGAAGATTAACGAATTTTAAAATATACAGAAATATGTCTATGTATTTACATATTTGTATATAGAATATCGTGCATTCCCCTTTATGGTTGATCACTTTAATTATATACAAATAAGAATTGTTAAATTTAAGACAGATACTATTCTATATGCGAACAGAACCTGTAGCAAATGGTGGGTCTTAATTTATAGACCATAATTTTTTTTGGGGCCATTTCGCATCTGGTTTTTGCAAGCGTCAAACAGAAGTTGGACCGTATCAAGTAATTTGTCTTTGGCTTAGACGGCACTCGAAGCAAATGAAGATTTAGTGAGCTGGACAATGGCTTTGCCACATTGCGAGGCATGCTGCAAGCGACGTTGTTGCTGCTTGTCCAAAAAATTTAATTACAAAACAATAAACGTTGTCAGGCAGGACAATGGACGGCAAACAATAAAAAGGCAAATAAAAATGCCAGGCAATAATTTTATGTGCAGTCGCAAAGAGTCGCGACTTGCAACAAAAATGCGAATTATTTGCGCAACGTAAATACAACGTGAGGTCCGCAGCCAAGTGCAACACACGAAGCACGGACAAGTCGTGTCAGCATCCGGGGAATGCTGCAACTGGAGTCCCTCTCAGATGCTGATGCTGCTGCTGCTGCAGCACAGAAATTGCAAATCATGCAATTTGTGAGCACTTCGAATGCAATCAGCCAACTGTTTGATTTATGTTCATTTGCAGTTGGCAATTCCTGCGCTCCTCTTTTTTTCTTTTTTTATTATTTTTTCATGCACTAATTTTTCAAATCAAAAGCCAGGCCAAACCAAAAGCCTGACTCAACGTTAAATTAATCATAGCATAGAGGAGTCAACGTCGTCGTCGTCGTCGTCGTAACAATCAATAACTCAAATCGATTGCAGGAGCTGCAGCAGGGTAAAAGCTAAATACAAGTGCAATTGCCTAGCCTCGACCTCTGGCTGTAGCTGCATAAGACTAGTAATTATACCAGGGCTA